ATATCGTATAAGATTGAATAATCACGAAGTTAAAGCGCATATTCCTCATCTTATGTGCTAACTATTTTTTTTAAAAAAAGTTTCTGTATGATCGTATGAGGTCACTCATGACAATTGACAACCATGACATGCTTTGCATATAATTTTTAAATGAATAAAAACTATACTGTTCATCAAGTAGTTACATATTAAGAAATTGCACACTTAAATATGTATAAAATAGTAGTGCATCAACCAAATAGTCTCATTCTCATTCATGCTTACCAGGAGTTTATATAGTTATTTGAGGTATTAAATTTTTAATTTTAGATTAAACTTTGAAAGAATAAGCATCAAAACAAGAATAAAACCTATGACTAGTCTTAAACTCAATGTAAAGAATATTTTCTTCTCATCTTTTAACAAAATAAACTAATTCCCACTTGGCATTGGCGAAGTAACTAATTTGAAGCGTGGATGACATAATAATTAATATGGGTGCCCAATATTAGTTAAACGACCAAACATTAGATCAATCTAACTAAGAGACCGCATAAAAGAGTTCTATAATAATTCACCTCCATAATCACTTCGAGAAACTCAAATGAACTTTTTATTAAGAGATAAATTAATTTATCCACTTACTAACGATGATTTTTTGTCTATATAATTAATCAGTAACTTGCTTTTTTCTGTCGAGAATATAATTAAATATTAAAAATGTGATCTCTCTAATAGCCTAAGCTTTTAGATGAGATGATCACACACTTATATCAGAGCAGACAATTATTTAGAGATCGAATCTCACCGCCATCCAGATCAAAAAGAATTTTCCGTGCTTAGCCCATGCAAAAAGAATCAGTCCCACACATTAAAGGGCGTGTCGAGAATATAATCATATAATAAAAATATGCTCTTTCTAATAGCATAAAGTTTCTAGATGAAATGATCACACACTTTAAATAATTTCTTCGTTTTTTTTAAATCTTCCTATAAACAAAATCCTCAATTATGTGTACAAAATAAAAATTGGTGTCAATGAATAGAGTCACTGATCCACAAATAAAGAAAAATCAGATCCCATGTTAGCTATATTTGTCCTCATCTAATAATAATTGGAAGAAGCAGCCTATATATGGATTTAGACACTTATATTCTTTAATTTATAACTTCTATATTTAGCTAGTTGTTTCTTTAATATCATTTGTAGTATGATCCAATATATATAGTACATATAATATAAATTGTAAGTTGAGCCTTGAAACACAAGACATTTGAAGTGAAAATTAACTAACTAGGAGAACATATATATAGTATAGGTATAGGCCCTCTTGAGATATTTTGTCTGTGGTGCTTGATTTGATTTCCTATATGATAAATAGTTGCATAAAAAAATTATATTTGTATGATGGACATATATCTATTTTTTCTATCAAATGAAATTGACAAAAGAAGCGTGAAACATGAAAAAGGGGAGTAATTTATATGTCCCACTCTTAAAACACATAGCCATATTGTGAATGAACGGATGCATAAAATGTCTTATAAGAGCATTCCCTTTCGTATGACCTACGTAACTATTAAAGATGAGATGGATGTTTTCAAATTTTATTTATTTATTTTGATTAATTATGATATGGTATTTAGTTAATAGATTATTGATCTGACTAATCTAGTTTTACGACGTAAGAAAGGTTGCTGTGGGAGTTCTAGCACTCTTTACCAAATGTGATTCTATATCTAACGATTGAATCTCATACTTCTAGTTAAATAAGGATAAAGAATTTCTACATTGTATCTATAGATGTGATCATCTGATATCTTGAGGGTTAACTAACTCTCGTTAGATCATTAAACATCTAATATCTTGAGGGTTAACTAACTCTCGTTAGATTACTAAACAAGTGTTTAATTTTACAACAATCATAAATTTATCGTAATTACACAAGTAAGTATGATGAGAGTATAGATATGATAAACGCACTTTACTCTTCTATTAATTTTTTATTCAGATATAAAATTGATAATATAAATGAATTCACGCGTGATTTTAATTCTTATCTAACTATATTATAATAATTTTTTCTTTTTCTGCCGCATTACTTTCTATAATTCTGTAGGCATTGACCATCGTAGGCTTGTAGCTCATTGTTCGACGTGTAGGTTTGGTGAGTTCCTTTTTTTATTTTGGCAATTTTCTTTTTTTCCAATTATTATTAATAATAATAATAATAATAATGTGGGGGTCGTTTTCACAATTATTCCTGCCACAACCCCATTCAAACAAATATAAAAATGAAGAAAAGATAGATGAGTTTAGTTTGTTTACTTGGTCCATGCACTACAAGTAAAATAAAAATATAAGATATATGAATGTGAGTCGTCTAATGGTCATTATCATTCAGGGTATTATTATATTGTATGTCACATTCCAATTTTTCTCTTGGCTTATAAAAATAACAATATTGCCTAAGTGGTCAACTTTTGTAGCGTAAATTCCACTCTTTTTTCTATCCAATTATTTACAACTCCAGCTGGACACCCAGTCATCCACCACGACCAAATTAAAGGAGGGAGGGAACCTTATTATAAAAAATATTATATGAGGGAAGTTGAACTAGTTCTTTCTTCCTTTTTCTTTTAATCTAATCTAAAGAAGAGTTTTTTTCTAAATTTTTTTAATTTTAATGGAAAAGTTTAAGGGGCACAAAATTTTAAAAACTATACAAATATTTTATTAAGATTTAGTTTTTTTAAATTTTGTATCCAATTAAATTAAAACGATTGAGTTTGAGACGAAAAGAAATATTTTTTTTTATAACAAGTCAGACTAAATTCTAATTCCGGCGAGGAGTTGGCATTATTGGCGCATGATTTAACGGCGGCCACCTAATAAATCAGCTTTCCGCTTCCAGACTAGCACTAGCTTTGTTGGAATATATTGTTCAATCAATGACTTGATTATTGCCTGATTTGAAAAAAAGTTATATGTTCGTTCAAGTTTTCTAAAAATAATGTTGGATGTGTGTTAAATTTTTTTGAAATAACATATTATTTAGAATTAAATGTAATAATAATTTTGAAGAGTCTAAATAATATAACAGAAAAGTTAAAGTAATAAATTGCAAAGCGCAAAAATAATAATAATTACAAATTATAGAAATACAATGTTTTGCTTTATTTTCAAGTGTTAAAATAGTGAGGGCGATATTTACTCTTTTATTCTAAATAGAAGATTTTAGGTTTAAACCTTCTAAATGGAATAGTCTATGATCTTTCATGAAAAGAGCTTTTACACTATTCTCCTAATATCAGGATCAAATTTTAAAGTGAATATCAAACATAAAATGAAAATAAAAATAAAAAATTCAAGTAAATAATCCGAATACACCTTGCAATTGTTTAACAACCCTACCCCTACCCAAAAAAATTCCTTTTCCCTTCTCTTTTGTGTTTATTTTCTTCACTTCTATTTGTTTTCAGACATACCGTAGATTCTAATATGGAAAATTTGCTATCAATTATGTTTGTGGTGGAAGCATATTCCTTTTCCTACGAAAAAGCAAATGGAAGTGTATTCCTTGTTATCCTTTTTCTCTTTTTTTAAATCGATATGTTTATTCGTTGAAAAATAGTATATGTGCGTATCTTCTTAATAAGTTATTACCACTAATCCTTTCCCTCTCCAAAAACACACATTTATAATAGATTGATATCGTTTAATTGGGTCACTATTTTCTAAAAAAAAAAGATAATTTAAAAAACTCAAATTATTTCAAATTTCGTTCCATCACACTTGCTTTTTTTTTAAAATAATAATTTATTATAGTACGTCTACTTTTTTATTTTGATACTTTAATTTGATAGAAAAGGAATACAAATTAAAATTGAAGTAAATGAATGAAGTAAAGTTTATAGAAAATTTGCTATAATAAAGTTGTATGGAATAATGATTATGTTCTTTTTGGAGAAAGCAAAATTGGATTCGGGTCAAGCAAGGTGCATAAGGTAATTGGCGTAAAATTGGAAACAAAATCATCAATTTTAAGATTACTTTTCTTTTCCATTGTCTCTTTTTTTTTTTTTAATTTACTTCTTTCTTTTCCTTCTCAAGTAAGCAAAAAGAAGTACTATGATTTGACCTTTTTATTTATTTATTTTAAAAAATTGTATTTATTAGAATATACTCTACCTCTAAGGAAAACAAATCACGTTATTAAAAATTGCAACGAAATGATAAAATCTCTTTTAATATTGATTAAAATTTCAAAAAATTAAATCCTACAAGAAACTTTTTAGATGAACCTTATAGAATATAAATCTAAAGAAATAAAAACCAAAACAAGTAATAAAACACCCATGATGAAAAAAAGGAAACAAATAATTTTTCGGTAACACATTGATATAGTGCTTAACAATGGAAGTTGATCATCGAGTCATAAAAATACATTATTTCCTTATTTTTAGAAAGGAAATATGACCCTTTCCCCCTCCAAATTGAGATTGGATCAATATATCAAATTAATTTAATACGATAATGATAAAATTTTGAAATAATCTAATCACAAATAATTTCTTCGAGATAACAATATCTACTTATACATTATCTTTCATACAATTTATCAAATAAAAATTTCAAATACTGTATCATATTCAATTACAACAACAAGAAAATGATTTACAAGTACAAAAACGTGTACAACCTAAAAAATATTTATGAAGTGTGAACCCAAGATTAGGTCTAAGTTTAAATGACATCACATATTTACATTGCCACGTTATTTCACATTAGGATTTTTTTATTTATTAATATTTTCCCATTTACAGATTGGCCTTCCACATCGGTGGTCCACACGTGTTGGATTCTTATTCGTCAGAAAACTTTTTAAAATAAAGGTAAGAAATTTTTTTCTGAATATTGAAATTTCAATAATATTTGAAATGAGATTTATTTCCATACAGACAATAAGTAACGCCTAGCTGGAAATCTATAAATACACGGCCTAAATTTAATTGCCAGCACAATTGCTGACGTGGATTCTTCAAACCCTCACTCAATCATTGAGAGAGTTTCTTTTTAGACTCCCAATCCTCCCTTATTTCTCACTCTTCCTGAAAAAGGCTCAGAAAAAAAAGAAAAAGAATTTTCGTGGGAGAGAAAAAGAAGATTATATACTTTTTGTCAGTTTCTATCAATTTATGCATTCTCTGTGATAAGTAAATTCTTCGTTATCGAATTGGAATTTTCAGAGACTGGTTGAGAAGTTGTTTGAGTTTTGTCATGTCTTTCATGGATACTTTTTTTGTTCCTGAAGAAACAAAGGACGAAGAAGGCGAGTGGGAGAAAGAAAGATAATTAGAAGAAAAAAAAATACGATTTCTGCTTCTACTGATCTTCTTCTTCTTCTTCGAGAAAAGTAGAAGTAGAAGGAATCAGATCATCACTAAAAAAAACTTTGTAGTTTTGTATTTTCGTATATTTTTATCTCTGTTTCGATCTCTGCTTCTGCAGGTAATTCTTTTATATTTTTGGTTTTTTTCTTTGTAATTCTTATCATTGAGAAGATAATGACGTTTTTTTTTGTATGTTTTTCAGTTTGACGATTAACGATGTCGACGAGTGTAATCAGTGAGTCGGCGGTAGTGATGAACGCTGCGGAGGGAGGAAAACTAGCGGCACCGACGATCGAGGTGGATTTCGCGAAATGCGATTGTTGTGGATTGACGGAGGAATGTACTCTGGCTTACATAGAGACGATCCGCGAGCGGTATCAAGGAAAATGGATATGCGGACTGTGTGCGGAAGCAGTGAAGGATGAGATGATGCGATGTGAGAGGTTGATTAACGCGGAAGAAGCCTTAACTCGTCATCTCAATTTCTGTAAGAAGTTCAGTTCGTCCACTCCTCCTCCAGATCCGACAATTCACTTGATCGCTGCAATGAGGCAGCTTCTTAGGAGGAGCTTGGAATCTCCTAAATCGCTCAGGTCGATGCCCTGTAGTCCGACGAGGAACAGCACTGAGATGCAGACTAACGTTTTAGTTCGAGCTGAAAGTTGTATTCCTACACTTTCTTTGGTGGTCGATTCTGCTGCTTATCATGCCATGGAAATGGATCCTGATTCCGAATGATTGCCATGGAAATAGATCCTGATTCCGAAGGAAGGTGACGACTTTAGGTTTAATTTCAACTCTCAAATCCCCGCAATGAAAAAAAAAGAAATAAATTAAGTAGAAAAAATAACTCTAATAATGCTTAATTTGCCTTAAAAATGTAAACACAATAGAACTAGAACCGTTTGGCGATCGACCGTGATGAAATGGAATGGAAATCATGTTCATGTGATTGGCGTGTGAATTATGTGTGCTCAACTAATTTTACAATTTTGATTAGCTCCACCTCCACTCTTTATATGCATCTGTAAATATATATTAGATACTCATGTTTTGATTGAAATGCTTCTATTATGATTCTCTTCGTGTTTTTGTACAATTTACGATGTCCATTTTCGTAGTTCTATCTTGTGTATTTCGGATATCTGATGGTTAAAGTGAAAAATAAATCTGAAAATAATGTATAGTGAATTGCAAGTTCACGTGTAAGAAGTAGGAACAGTTATGTTACTGTAAGTGTTTCAAATTTAGCTGAAAAAAGTGTGAAGTACGAGTTCCTCCCCAATTAAAGATAAGATGTTTTGAAAGAGGAAGTTTCTGGCTTTTATGGCTTGTGATAGATAACATGGAAACTATAAATTAGGTACCAAGAATCCAAAATTGGGAAAAGGACAATGCTTGTGACTTCCCCTTTGTACGTGATAATACAGAGTTTGAGATTGGGGAGAATGGGCATTGATGAAGTTTATGGGATGTCCAGTAGAAAGTGGTATTATCTGTGGGCCTAAGATGTTGTTGTTTCTGTTTGACATGCTAGTTCTAGTGTAAAGGAGAGGGATGGCCATTTGCGTGTTAGTGATGAATATATTGATCAAAGACTTTGTGATAAGGATGTACCACCAAAGATTTGTTAAGATGGACGTCATTCATCTATAGTGTAACTAGTGTTTTCAAGTTCGAGTTTTGGTAATATTAAAAAAATAAGAGGATCATAGAGGTTAATGTAACGGGTAAATTTTTTGCAAAATTTGATATTGTTTGAAACGGAAAATTGATATTTTTCTAGTTTGCCTAAGATTTTGGTGTATTGGTGTAAGATAGTGAGTATCCAATAAACTAGTAGATTTTGAAAATAGTACATTTAAGAGGTTTTCAGAATTTAATTTTTTATTATAAAATCAGCTAATATCTCAAATCAAATATAATTCCAACTTTTACAACTACCAGTTTGATTTTTAAAATATGAACCAAATTTGTTAATACATGTGGTGAAGTTTCCAGAGGACCTTATGTGGACAATATAATCATTTGCATTATTTGATGTAACATATCAAAATGATCGACTAACATGAACCTACTAGTGGTTTACATAAGATTAGGTGATTAGGTAGTTGACTATTAGTGCCAATAATTCAAGTGTTCTGTTTTAGTTATGAGAGATTAGGTTAACAACTCTTCAAATAAAGTAAAACAGCCAAGTAGACTCATAGATTAGGCAACCTGGTCCTGATCATTGAGAACACTAGGTACAGAATAACATTATTTTAATTGAGTTGCAAGGAAGGTACATTATTTAAGTGATTCTGGGGCAATCATAAGCACCTTACAGGATGAATTCAAGAGCGAAACAGGTGTATCTGCACCTGAAACAACAATTGCATTCATTAGAACACGGGAAATTTGAAATGATGCGAGATACTTAATTCATCATATTGTAATGCAATGACTCACCAATTTCACTAGCCAAAATTGATTCCTTGAGCCAATGGTAGTTCACTCCCATAGTTGATTGTACTGCAGTGGTGGGGAATAACACAAGTAGGTCAGCATAAAATGTTATCAGATTTAGACATTGAGCTAAATGAATTATAAGATACTGAATTAAATGAGAAAGGGATGAAATGTCTCTGTAGTTACCAAGTTGAGCGTCTCATATATTGTTTCCAAGAATCACTTCCTGCCTCACGGCCACCACCAGTACCTTTCTCACCTCCAAAAGCACCGCCAATTTCAGCTCCATTTGTTGGGATATTCACATTGACGATGCCACAATCACTTCCTTGAGGTCTGCATCACATTAATCCATGTCAGAACCAGGGTTATTTAATGAAAAGGGAAACTCGTCTAAACCACATTCTCAAGAACATAATAGATTGCTTACCCAATCCACTTAAATATATTTTCTGGGTTTCGGGTGAAGATGGAACTACTTAAACCTTGAGGGACAGAGTTGTTGATTTCAACTGCTTCTTCAAAAGTCTGCAAGCAGAATGTTTAGAATGAAAAACGGAATCAAGAGAAGTTCCACCAAATACGGGAGACTACCACATTGGTCATCTCGAAAATTCAGTGCCTTTGCAAGGGAATACCTTAAACTTCATTACATAAAGAACTGGAGCAAACAATTCTTCCTTCACAATTTCAGCTTTTGAAGAAATTTCAACAATTGTTGGACGCACAAAATTACCCTCAGATTCTACGACTGAGCCACCTGTAAGGATCTTTCCACCCTGCAAAATATTCATTTTAAGAAACAAAGTTCTAATAACACTTCACTTTCTATTGGAAAAGGAAAAAATTCAATTCCAGCTGAGTTGACAAATTATGTCTCCTTTTCTTTTCAAAAATATTATATGACCTGATTACTAGAGATATGCTTAGGGGGGATAAAACTGTGAAACTTTAACAAATCAACTTGTTAGACAAATCTTATCCATGTTGTACAACTGTCCTCACCATCAACATATAACAAGGGGTAGGGCAAGACTAGGAGGAGAGGCAAAATCAATGTCAATTTAGAAATAATTTGGAAATAAAAGTCTCAAGAAACTGGACATACCTGGGACTTGATATTGTGGATTCCCTTCTCGAAGTTTTCCCTAGAAGTACGAGTATGCAATGGCCCAAGTAAGGTTCCTTTTTCTAAAGGATCCCCTATCTTAACTTGCTTGTAAACATCAACTAGTGGTTCAAGTACCTTGTCATATATTGATTCGTGCACAAGCTTCACACAGAAAAGATTTATGAAGAAAAACAGTAATAAATTTTGGAAGTGAAAGCTTTAAGCAGCAAAGTGAACGGACTTAAAACAATTAACACAGTACCAGTCTCCGGCATGTTGTACAGCGCTGACCAGCCGTACCAACAGCAGCAAATAAAACCGAGCGAACAGCAAGTTTAATGTCCGCATCATCCATTATTATAATGGCATTATTTCCACTTAATTCTAGTAGACATTTACCAAATCTCTGACTTACTGTTTGCTGAACTGCAAGACCAACCTATTGGCACAAAAGAAATAAACCCACAGAAATTCGTTAGAGCAAGTTTGTATTTCTATCTATATGTACTTTTAACAAAACTAGAAGACAAGCTTTATCAGAGTAATAGAATAATAAATTGATAAGGTTGAGATTTTAGGTTGTATGCACATGTATATGGTTGCTGTCACGTTGGGTGTTTTTCTCAAATCGAACTTATTTGCTTATCCTAGAAAAGAAATGCTTTTATTTTCACTTGCACCCAGAAGGACTGAAAGCCAAACCACTTAGTTTAATTTTGACTAGCAGATTAAACTCAAGACTTGCATATCCATTTAATTTCAAAATTGACTCCATAACATGTCTTTTGAAGTCCGGTTAAGGTTCTTTGATTCAACTAGACAGACAATGTAAAGTCAGGGTAGGAATGTGAAGTAAGCAAAAAAAAAGAGATATTTTTGTACTTAGATCGTGATTTTTGGAGAGACTACATCAAGTTAATCCAACAAATATAGAAAAATTAGAAAAATCAAATTATTACTTTTTAAGATCAAATCAAAGATAGCAACGGAAGCTTCCTAGAGATGAACCAACACACCAGACAGTCTATGTTTTATGCCTAGTGGCGGAGAGATTGGAAAATATTTAAAAGGGTAAATCCAAGTCAAAGTAATAAGCAAATACCGACACAGTATTAGTGGCAATGGAGACCCCTTGATGATAAAAACAGACATACATGTTAGGTTAAGGACAGAAAAGTCACCTTTGAACTCCCAGTGAACGAAACTAGAGGAATTCGTGTGTCCATTGCTATTGCTTGACCAACAGCAGCTCCACCGCAGAAGGCAGTAAAAATTGAACCAGGTAGATTGTTTTTCTCCAATACACTAGCCACAATTTTTGTCATCGCAATTGTTACCAATGGTGTTGTTGGAGCACCTTTCCTGTGAACATGGAATAAAATCCCAAGATTAGAACACCCAAATACTGAACTTGAGTTTTATTTCAAGCATTGAGGTATCAAACATACTCGAAGAGCAAATTTTCTTTTGGAGATTGAGTAGAGAGTTGAGTGATTAGGTATTAGCATAACCCTAAAGAGAATCTGCTCTATCCCTCCCAATTCAGTTGTGCTTACTTAACCTCGTACGGTTAATAAGACAGGAATTGAAACTCTGTTTTGTTTAACTGATTTGGATGCGGAAGAAATTCTGTTTTAGAGCTAGTACAGTAATATAACTTAATTAAAATTTCAGCTGCAACACATGAATGCTTATATTATCAGGTTGGCATGGTTTTAAGGTAAGAGAGATTCAATACTTCTTCTTTGAAAGAGAAACAGTAATTACTTCCAACATAAATCTGCATTGATGATGTTCAAACTATAGTGTGGCAATAATACCCACTCAATTTTAGCTCAGCTATAAGTATATATAAGCTGATAGCTCAATTTATCAATCTGAAAAGCTGCTCAGCCATCTAGCTCAACTATCATTTGGAAAAGCCATTTCAATCATTTCTACTATGGACAAATTCACATTACACCTTCGAAATAAAGTGATGGACTTACCAGACAACACAATTGCCACAGACCAGTGCAATACATGCATTCCATCCTGGATAGAACATGACAAATATATTTAGAACAAAATAAGGTGAATACTTACACTTATCAAGTGTTTACTTGGAAAATCGGGTCAAAGCATTTAAAGCAAAGTGGAAATTGCTTGGTATGTGTAAGCAAAAGTTCTCCAAATAAAACAACAACAACATACCTAGTGAAATCCCACAAGTGAGGTCTGGACATGGTAGAATGTACGCAGACCTTACCACTACTCCATGGAGGTAGAGAGGCTATTTCCGACGGACCCTCGGCTCCAGATACAAACCCCAGAATCTTTCTACTAATTTTCTATTTTAAGACCAAAATACTTTTGTGGAAAGACAGCAACACAAAAAATACAATCTGAACATAGCAAGAGATATACTCCAACATTTGAGGCAAAAAGCAATTAACAAGCACGAATGCATTCAGATAGGAAGAGTTTTGACTTCTTGTGGAAGACACATAGGCATCATGTAAAAGCACAGTTTTATCA